CATACTGCATCCAGGCTGTCTGCCCCAGGGCAGGTGTAGCATTCACACTTACAATCCCAGCATTGGATAGAAGCTGCCCCATGACTGCATGAGGCTTTAGGGGGACACCTAGACACAAGCCATAACAGGTTCTCTCTTATGAACAAAGATAAGTTCTGCTATGCAGTGTATCTCAGCCACTTGCCTGTCACCCGACGCAGCATCTCACACTGCATTTGGAAGGGGGACAGATGCAGCTTGGCTCGCCCCTTCAGGAATCTTAGCCCACATGTGGTCAGCCAGCTCCAAAAGGGAAAGAGCAGGGGGGCAGAGCCTGCAGGTGGGAAGGCTGCTCACATCACCGCAGCAAGGAGGCAGAGGGGAAGGGAGGAGCCAGAGGAGCCGGGAGGCTGCGTATCCTTGCAGCCCATGTCCCCACGGCCACCTCAATTTAACCATAAAGCCCATCAGTGGACTGATCCAGACTATGGGGCCCTGTGGTCCCACCTTTGAGCACATAAGCGTTTTGGAGAACACTCTAGATATAAGCCACAGCAAATAGATCTCAAATCTTAGCAGCATAACACGATGGAAGTTTGGTTCTTACTCATGTGAAGTCTGCTGCAGGCTAGTGGGAAGTCGCCTTGAAGCGCTCAGCTCACACACCCTGTCACCTTGCAACCGGGCCATCGTGCAGCGTTTGCTTCCACTCTTGTGAAGAAAACTGTGGAAAACTAAATGCCCCTTGGGGCTGGTGAGATGGCTCAGTGGTCTAAAGCACCTACTTAGAACAAGTTTAGCAAAGCACAGGGACCACGGTTCAATCCCCCAGCACCACATGCCAGCCAGCCCCGCCCACAGGTGGGCTGAGCTGGCCACACACACACACACACACACACACACACAATAAATAAATAAATAAAGAAAGAAAGAAAGAAAACTGTGGAGAGCTCATGTGTCCTCTTTTGTTAATTTCTTTTCTTGAGATAGGCTCTTGCTGTGTTGCCCAGATGCATCTTGAACTCCTGGGCCCTCCTATTCAGACATGCAATGGCTATAAACACTAGGTACATATACACTACTGTACCCTGCTCAGACCTAGTCTTTATTGCTGTCCACCAGAAATGACCCACTTATTTTTGCTCACAGTCCACCGGTCAGCATCAATTACCTGGCTCCAACCTAATTGTAAAGCAGTCTAGGAAATACCAGAAAATACTTGACTTTTTGGAGACCACTAATATTTTTCTGTCAAGGTTTCCCTCTGGAGGTCTTTTCACTTCAGTTGTTCCCTAAAGATTAGTGTTTTCTGGTCTTGGTTTTCTTCTTTTTGCCCCCATCCTTACTGTCCCTGGGTGATCTCTACTCTTATCTCCCACTGCACTGTTGCTGCATGATCCCCAATTCAAAGTCCAGCCTAGATTTTTCTCCTCACTGTCCAATTCCATAATCTCCAGCGCAGGGCTTTTGAGCACAAGGCCACTCCAGCCTATGGGTAAAAATAATAACCAAACCTAAACTTTTTTTTGATGTGTATTTAGGACAGGGTCTACAGGGTCTATAGGGTCTCACTACTAAGATTGGACTTGTAGTGATCCTCTTTTTACAGCCTCCCAAGAGCTGGGATTACAGACATGCCACCATGTGCGGTCTCAATTGCTGTCTCAGCGCAACCCAGGGGTGGGGCTGGCAAGGCAAGCTGGAGATCAAACCTGGTCCCTGCATCTGCCTAAGCAGATGCTTTAGTCCGCTGAGCTATCTCCTCATGCCCCCCTTTTCTTTTAATGACTTATGTGTGGTGCCTAGGAGGTAGCTCCTCCTGCTTCCTTCTTTACAAATGAATTTTCCTTCAGGAGGCCACTTGGCAGATAGACCTCCCCTGGAATGGTCCTGTGCTTGCCAAAGCCCATGGTTTCAGCAAGGACTCTCGTTAATCCGAACTCTCATTTCCTGTCCCCATGTACGCATTTTGCCCTCAGCACCCGATGTTGATGAAGGGGAAAATCACTTTCTTTCTTGCCCATGACGCTGGGCATGATCAGAATCCTGCCTTGACTCTGTGTCCCTCGTCCAACCAGTCATCAAATGCTACAATTCTGCTCCTTCCATATCCTTCAAGTACACATCGTTCTCTCAGCCCTCACCAGCACACCACATTTCAAGTCTTCATCGTCTCTCATTGGGAGGGATTAGTAAGACAATTCAGCAGTCTCCCAGCCCCGTCTAGCCTCTCTGCAGAGACACCTTCACACAAAGTCCTTGAGGGTCCAGGCACGGTCTGCTTCTCCTCTAGCCTCATCTGTTGCCCAGAGCTTCCAGACCTAACCACAGAAGGCCAGTTCTGGCTGCCCCTTCCCTGTGTGATGAGGCGCAGTCACTTAACCTACCCACCCTGAGTTATGTAAGCAACTGAATGAATGAATTTGAATTCTCAACTTTCTGCATTCTAAGCTTTGTGCCCGAGTGGGGAATGTAAGGATGAATTTGACAAATTCTCTGCTCTCAAACAACTCTCAAACATGTCCACAAATTATTTTACTATAAGAGTAAGTGCTGCAATACAGCAATACAGGGGCCGGGGAGATGGCTCAGTGGAATAAGCGCTTCCCTGGCAAGCGCAAGGGTCTGAGTTCAATCCCTGGTTCCGCCAAAAAACAAAACAAAACAGCAGTACACCAAGTGTTATGTGATTGATGGGAAAACAATCTGTCACCAAAGAAGGGAAGGCTCAGGACAGAAGACAGTGACCTGGGAATCTGGGTGAGGTGGTGCACACCTGTAACTCCAGCACTCTGAGATTACAGGCTGAGGCAGGAGGACCACAAGTTTGAGCCCACATTGCACAATTTAGCAATTTATTGAAATCATGTTCAAAAAATTTGGGAGAGGCTAGGGCTGTAGCTTAGTGTGAAGTTTTTCTCCCAGTAATGACTGCTAAAACAAAGAAAGAAACAAAGATTTTGGAGCTGTGCAGCAAGGATTACTATTGTCCCCCTATGTTCATTCTTTTCCTCTTTCTGAGTGATAGAGGCCCTTTTCTGCTCCCAGAATAAAGACCACATTTCCCAGACTCTTTACAGCTAAAGGTAGCCATGTGACTGAGTTCTGGCCAATGGAATGCCAGTAGTCATGGCAACAGCAATATCTGGGACTTGAGTTCAATGAGAGAGAATGTGTCCTTTTCCTATTTCCCCTTCTTGCTGGCTGAGAGGTGAACTGATGGGTGAAGTTGGAGCAGCTTGGACTTGGACATGAGCCTGTTGGGGAGGATGACAGTGTGGTACAAGAGAAGCAGCCCTCAGTGCCTTACCTTTGGGAGGAGAGGAGGAGGAGGAGGAGGAGGAAGAGGAGGAGGAGGAAGAGGAGGAGGAGGAAGAGGAAGAGGAGGAAGAGGAGGAGGAGGAGGAGGAGGAGAAGGAAAGAGAGGCTCCCATTGTATATAAGCTATCCTCACTTCTTTTTCTTCACTCCCAGCTGAGCCTAATCCTAATACAGACTCAATCTGAAGGAAATGAATGCATACCCTCCAGGAGACAGGCTATTTCAGCCAGACAGAGTAGCCTGTGCAGAGACACAGGGTCCTGAAGGAGGCAGTATGCTTGAGGAACAGTAAAGTTTAGTCTGGTGGGAGAAGATGGGAAGGGAGTTGGGATGAGTCGCACAAGAGGACGGATGGAATGGCAGGACTGGTATGAGTGCAAGCAAAAGAGACAACTTGGGCTACGGTGGTGGAGGAGACAGGGGAGGAGGGGTGGGGCATTCAAGGCACCTTTAGGAGCAAGAAGAAGGAGCTTAGGAATTTGAGTTTGTGAGTACATGGAGGGAGCCCACCATCAGAGAAAAAGCTGGGCCTTTGGGCTTCCCTCCTCAGAGTCCCGAGGTAGGGCTCAGCCTCTCTCTGTGAGGAGAGTCTCTTTGCTCCAGTCCCTTGTGCCAGCAGCCCCTGACCCACACATTGCTTACCATCTCTTCTTCGCCCTGCCTGGCTTGCCCTGCTTGATCCAAAATTATCTCTTACACTGGGAGATGGCGTAGTCTTTCACTCTGTAACTGTTGGCTCTTCCTAGGCTGCCTGGGCACCCCGTGTTGGAGCTGTCAAGGTGTACTTCGGCTGTCTGGTTGGCTGGGGCAGAGTGCTCTGGGCAGTTGAGCAAGAGCAGGGCTCCCTGGCAGACAAATGGGCTTGTGTCTATTGGTGGGCTGGGCAGCAAGTCAGTAGGTTGGGGGCCATGCGTTTGGGGGGACTGGGTGAGCTCAGCCCCATCTGTCAGTAGTAGAGGTTCCAGGAATTATTTTTCTATGCGGGCAGCCCCTCGATACCCAGGGAGCTGATTAACCCTCTGGGTGCCAAGAAAAGGGCAGGAGGTAAGTTCTAGGAAGCAACAGAGGTCATCCTTCTTTGAACTTCCACGTGGTATTTGCTTAAGGTAATTGTTGCCAGAGGCCGGAGCCCCTGGACTATAAAGCAGAATATCTGCTCTCTGCACCCAGAACTGAGCAGGTAAGCACGTGGGCTGGGAATGGGGATAGGAATCCTGAGGGAGGGGACTGCAGGGGGCCTCCGCAGAGCTGGGGGCGGGATCCAAGGCATCCTCTGGAGGACTTGGCAGTTGCCCTCCCCCTATGGCTCAGGGTTCCTGACTATGAAGCGGAGGCAGGAAGACAGGAGAGTGAGGTAGCTAGGGAGCCAACCAGGTTCCCAGCTCTAGGTTGTGGAGGGCAGAGTGGTGGGGGTACTGTTGGAAGATAGTTGGAGCTCCACCCTCCTTGCTGTGTGACAGAGATGAGAAAGGAGAGCCCTCCTCCATGTTGGAGGAAGACACTTCTTCCTTTCCAACGTAGGTTGATCCAAAGGTCAGTCCCTGAGTCCCAGTAATTCTCTGCTTCCTTTACCTCAGGGAAGATTAACAGATTTGAAGCAACTGTCCCTTAGAACAATTTTTTTTATTTCTTCCCTTTGCTTTTTCTTTTTTGTTTCTTTTCTTTTCTTTTCTTTCTTTTTTTTTTTTGAGGGTAGTTACCAGGAATCAAACTCAGGACCTTGCACTTGCCAGGCAGGCGCTGTGCCACTGAGCTATCTCCCCGGCACTGCTTCTTCCCTCTATTCAACTTCCTTCCCAGAGTCCATACTGCAAACATGGCTGCAGTCCTCACCTGGGCTCTGGCCCTACTCTCAGGTGAGTCTACAACCTGACTTCAACATGCGGGTATGAGTGGAGACTGAACCGAGGGGCCCTAACCACCCCACCCTCTGCACAGCGTGTTCAGCCACCCAGGCACGGAAAGGCTTCTGGGACTACTTCAGCCAGACCAGCAGGAGCAAGGGTGTGATGGAGCAGATCCTGCAGCAGAAGCAGGCCCAGGACGAGGCGTGAGTAGCTAGGGCAGTGGGTAGGGGCAGAGGACAGAAGATAGCTGGGCCTGATGCACTGTTTCTGTCCCCTCCACCTGCTCTTCCTATGGCTGCTCTATTTTGCTGCTGGGGCTGGGAACCAAACACTGTCTAGCTCTGTAATGCATTTATGCTTCTGTGTGGGGCTGCGGTTGTCTGTAGGGTGAAGATTAGACAGCCTGCTTCTGGGAGCCACCACCCCACCCCATATTCTTGGTTTCCCTAGGAGATCAGTGCCTGGGGTTCCTAGGGCAAAAGAGATGATGAACCTGGCAGTTTGATGGTCTGTTCTCTTCCCCAGGAGGCTGAAAGACAGCTTCGAGCAGGACCTCAGCAACATGAACAAAGTCCTGGAGAATCTGGGTCCCCTTGGTGGGCAAAGGAAGGATCCTTCTCTGCTGGCCCAGGACCAGGACCTGCGGCAGCAGCTGCAGGAAGAGCTGGCGCAGGTGAGGGCTCGTCTGCAGCCCTACAGGGAGGAGGTACACAAGCAGGTGGGCTGGAACTTAGAGGGGCTGCGGCAGCAGCTGAAGCCCTACACCATAGAGCTAATGGAGCAGGTGGCCTCGCGTGTACAGGAGCTGCAGGAGCAGTTGCGTGTGCTTGGGGAAGGCACAAAGGCCCAGTTGCTGGGTGGCATGGATGAGGCACTGGGCCTGCTGCAAGACATGCCCAGCCGCGTACTACACCACACTGGCCGTGTTAAAGAGCTCTTCCACCCATACGCTGAGCGCCTGGTGAGTGGCATAGGCCACCATGTGCAGGAACTGCACCGCAGCGTGGCCCCGCACACAGTTGCCAACCCAGTCCGGCTTAGCCGCTGCGTACAGACACTGTCCCGCAAGCTCACGCTCAAGGCCAAGGCTTTGCATGCGGGCATCCAACAGAACCTGGACCGGCTAGGCAAAGGGCTTAGTGCCTTTGTCCGCACCAGCACAGATAGGGCTGAGGAGGGGGCCAGCTTGGATCCCCAGTTGCTTTCTGAGGAGGTGCGCCAGCGACTTCAGACTTTCCGCCAGGACACCTTTGAGCAAATTGCCGCATTCACACGTGCCATCGACCACGAGACAGAGGAGATGCAGCAGCAGCTGGCGCCACTCCCGCCAGGCCACACTGCCTTCACCCCTGAGTCCCCACAAGCAGATGGTAGCAAAGCCCTGAGCAAGGTGCAGGCCCGTCTAGACGACCTCTGGGAAGACATCACATACAGCCTTCAAGACCAGAGCCATAGCTATCTGGGAGAACCCTGAAGGCCAACTTGCCGTGGTTCATTCCCTAGCTCCTGGTGTGAGTGGCCCAGGACCTCAGCATGGCTTGCTGGGCAAGGGCGGAGGGTTCTGCACAGGATAGGTGAAGCCACCAGGGGGTTGCTGTCCCTGGCATGACCATCCTCAACTTCCCCATCCAGATGCATTACACTCACTAGGCTTTGCCAACCCAGCTTTCTGTACTCATTTAGTCATTCTCAGGAATTTCACTACTCAGGTGGAGGGAGTAGGGAGGGAGAAAGGCCATATGTCTGCAAGCCTGTGTGAGATGGTACCAGAAGCCTGTGCCACTGCGCCTCAAGTGTGGTTCCTGTCACTTCTGGATGACTGATGGTCGCTGCTACAGCTGGTCCATAGAGAGAAGCTCTTGTTTCCCCATGGCCACCACGACAGCTTCTTTTTTTTTAAATGCATTTTAGTACCAGGTCTATAGGGTCTCACTATGTAGATCTGACTCTTAGTGATTCTCCTGTTTTCAGCCTCCCAAGTGCTGGCATTACAGGCATGTGCCGCCACGCTGAGTCTCAATTGCCATCTCAGATCCCACTGTGGGCATGCCGGCATGGTACACTGGGGATCAAACCCCAGCTACTGTGCTCTGCCTAAGCAGGTGTTTTAGTCTGCTGAGCTATCTGGTCGGCCCTCACCATGACAGCTTCTGTTGGGCCAATAGAAGAGATCCAGGACAATACACGGGGAGAACGTGTAATGATGCGTGTCCATCCCTTTTGGCTGTGATGCTAGAGGGTGCGAATGGTGGGGACAGTGATGGGCAGGGGCAGGATCCATGTTTCCTTATATAGCTCTGCACCTAAGTAAGAGCTCAAGCTCTGCAAGCCATGGGGCTTCATACATTGTCCAGAGCGCATAATATGTACCTTCTCCAGCCCCGGCCTCTCCCTCGTGATTCCCAGGCTGAAGTCTAGACTTCAGCTCAAATGAAACAGACGCTGATGATGGAAGCTTCTCTGCCTGGTGTGACTCTTTGTGTGAGAATGAGGCCACTGTCCCTAAAGCCACACTTATTACCCACTCTGATTCCTTGCGGCTCTTTCTCATTCAGCCACTCTGTCAGCGAGGCCTGGGGCTGGCTGGACTCTGCGTCAGGGCTCCTGGCTAGACAACAGCTGTCTGCCGCACCAGATGTGTGTGCTGGGGAGTGTATTGAGGGGAACCTGGGCTAGTAATCCTTCATCTGCATCCATCTTATTCAACATCCTGGGTACCACAAGACGGTGTGCATGGGACACACAGGGGACCAGGGGACCTGAGATTCCTGAGGTGGCCTGTTCCATTTGTTCCTACTGTTCCAGACACTGATTAGCCTTTTCCTGGGATGCACAATCCCTGACCTCGTTTCCGCACGCACTCACTCAGGGGCATCAAAAATCACCTAGACACTGAACTTGATGACGACTAGGAGGAAGAGGAAAAAGCGAGCACACTCCTTTCCCTCTGGCCTGCCCTGTCCCCCCAGACCAGAGAGCTCAGTCCATCTTGCACAGGCTTCTCTCGGCCTCCCCTAGCGCAGACTCCAAGGGAATCTGGTTAACTCCTCATGCCTGAAGACTGGTTATCCCTGATACCTTAGATTAGCAACTTCGGGCAACAGGGCTGAATCGTGGCTCCGGGGCAGGGGAGGAACAGAAGAGTGTTTCTGTAGTTACAGTGACAGGCAAGTCAGCTTAGGTCGGATGTGATGGGACTGGAGGGTGGGGGTAAAAAATAAGGCTTGCGCGTTTGACGCTAAAATGTGGAACTACAGGGAGAGCCGGACTGCGGGACGGGGTGGGGGTCGGGGCGGGGGGCTGAGCGCCCCACAGGGTGGGGGTCGGGGCGGGGGGCTGAGCGCCCCACAGGGGCTCCTAGCTCGACACAGGCGGCCGAGCAGCGCCTGGCACAACAGTGGACCAAAGTAGACCAGTTTGGGGGCACCTCCTCCGGATTCCCAGACACATCCAATCCCCTTCCGTTCACAGCACTCGAGGACAGATTTACAAATCCCTCTGACGGGAGAGCGTTGCAAAGGATCAAAAGACTGCTCAGGATCTAAATGCGCATCCTCCGGGCAGTGACGGCTAAGTCCAGAGGGATCCGGCTGGCTGCGCTCGTCGGGATCCGACAGCCCGGAACCAAAAAGCCAGGGCTAACACAGTTCTGGGAGGGCCCAGCGTCTGCGGCCCTCTAAAGAAGGGGTGGGGCAGCAGCTGCCGGAAATGGGCCTCGAGCGCAGCGGAAGGGGCGGGACCTCGAAGCAACGGAAGCCGGAAGCCGGGGTCTGAGCTACCTGTGCGGCGATGTCGGCCGGTGGGGCTTTGGATTCCGGGCCCCTGGGGGTTGCCGCCGCTCCCTCACCAGCCCCGGCGCAGCCGCCAGCCACAGGGCCCTTGTTCCGGCCCATCAGCGCCGAGGACGAGGAACAGCAGCCCACCGAGATCGAGTCGCTGTGCATGAACTGTTACCGCAATGTAAGGTTGGGTCGCAGGCGGGAAGGCAGGCGGCAGGAGGTGGAGGGCGGCCCCCTTGGTCCTCTGGGACTAGGGCAGGGACCGGGAGTTTCCTCTGTGGCTTTTATTTCCCTGCTTTTTGCTTCCACAGGGCACGACGCGCCTCCTGCTCACCAAGATCCCCTTCTTCAGAGAAATAATCGTGAGCTCCTTCTCCTGCGAGCACTGTGGCTGGAACAACACGGAGATCCAGTCGGCAGGCAGGATCCAGGACCAGGGAGTGCGCTACACGTTGACTGTCCGCGGTCTGGAGGTAAGAGGAGCCCAGAGCTCCAGTGTCCCTGAGAGTGCATGGGGACCGCTGTGAGAGCTCTCTCAGGTCCTGACTGCCAGACCCGTGCGGAAGCCTTAGTTTTCTTCTTTGTAAAGTGGTGTGTCCAAAGGGTCATCTGCTCAGGTGAAATAAGATTTGTGAAAGTGCTTTGTGAATTTTGTCAAAGGATGGGGAATGATCAGGACTTGTGGCTAGGCTTTCACGTGGGCAGTATACCACCTGTGTTGTTTGGAGGAAGGTGTCTGGATGCACCAGGGTGCAGGGGCAGAAACAGCAGAGTTGAGGTGTGATGGACGCACGGCTGTCTGGGCATTTCCTGAGAAGCTGTACCACAGATCTCTTAGGACCAGGGTTTTCCTTTCTGCCCAGGACATGAACAGAGAAGTGGTGAAGACTGATTCTGCCACCACAAGGATACCTGAGCTGGACTTTGAAATTCCAGCTTTCAGCCAGAAGGGAGGTAAGTTTATGGTCAGACTATTGGGGCTGTTCACACATAGCTGGAATCGTCTTTCTTTCTTTTTTTTTTTTGTATTTAGGACAGGGTCTGCAGGGTCACACTGCTACATAGATCAGACTCGTAGTGATCCTCCTGTTTACAGCCTCCCAAGTGCTGGGATTACAGGCGTGTGCCACCATGCACAGTCTCAATCGCCTTCTCAGAGCCCCAGAGGCAGGGCCAGGGCCAGCATTGCAGGCCCAGCGATGGAACTCCTGGCCCCTGTATGTACCTAAGCAGGCGCTTCAGTCTGCTGGGCTATCTGGCCAGCCCTATGGAATCTTCTCCATTTTCTTACAAAACCCCTGGTGCTAGGTCTAGTGCTTTTCATTGATGTGACATAAGAAGACAGCTTGAGATAATTTAGAATTTTAATATCATTTTTATCAGAGTTTAATAGAATCCAGTGCCTGGCTTCCTCTTACAAATGAAAAAAATCATGGCCCAGAGTTTCAGGTAAATTGCCAGGGTCATACAGTCACTTGGTAGCACAGCTAAGAATCATTTGCCTTTTGTTCTTCTTCACAAGCTTTGACCACCATTGAAGGATTGATCAACCGTGCCATCTCTGGCCTGGAGCAGGACCAGCCCACACGAAAGGTGAGCTGGGCTTTCAGTTTCTTTAATGTAATTAGTATAGGGTCTACAGGGTCTCACTATGCAGATTGGACTCTTAGTGATCCTCATGTTTTCAGCCTCCCAAGCACTGGGATTACAGGCACGCACCACCACACCCAGTCTCAGTCCTGTCTCAGTGTGGGGTGGGGTTGGGCCAGCACAGTGCTTTAGTCTGCTGAGCTATCTGGCCAGCCCTGAGCTAGGCTTTCTAACTGCAACAGTTCAAGCAATTATTGCTTATGTGTCTAAATGTGAGCGTTCAGCTCTCCCTAGAGCCGATCTGCCTGAGTGTTGGGTGCTGCATCCCTGCCCCCTTGCCCCAAATAATATGGTGGTCTCGCAGCTGCCTGGATGTTGCAGTTGTACTTGCTGTCCTTTCCATGACTTACCCCCAGCCTATACCCAGACCTCATCTCAGTCAGTGTGACATTATCTCTGAAGGGTAATCTATGCTTCCTGGAATTCCATTGTGTGTCTGGTACTTATTATTACAGAAATAATATCATTGCGTATTTAGTCATTTGTTTTCCTAACTAGCTAGGGGGCCCCCCTTAAAAAGTTGTCATTTATTTACTCTTCTACTCCTAACCTGGCGTGAGCACATGAGCTTATTGGTGGACTAAAGAGGTTCTCCTGGCATCACCCGTCTCCTTCAGACTTGTTATTGTATCAGTGAAGTCTGAGCACTTGGTTTGCAACCATTAGGGCAGGTGTTGACTTTCTGATGGAATTGACATGGACATGATGCAGTTGGGCCTGACGTGTGCAGCTAGGGTGATGACTTTGATTCTGTTATGGCAGGCGAGTGAAGAAGCCATCGCCGAAAGAATTGATGAGTTCATTGTCAAACTGAAGGAGCTAAAGCAAGTAGCCTCCCCTTTCACCCTGGTGAGTAATAAGGGACTATAGTTGCTTCTGACTTAATGGGGAGAGATCCTGAGACTTTGTGGGATTTTTCTGCTCTGTTCTGATGATAGAGGGAGGGTTGTGTATGAGTTCTTACTACAGTGAATATGTGTTCGCTCATCTGTTAGATCATCGATGATCCCTCGGGGAATAGCTTTGTAGAAAACCCACATGCTCCCCAGAAAGATGATTCCCTGGTGATCACACACTACAGCCGGACCGTGCAGCAGGATGAGATGCTAGGGCTCCAGGTAAGTGGACTCTAATTATCTTGTACTCTGGGTTGCTTGGAGTCGCTGGAACATTATTTAGTTGCTGCTGCTGCCCTACTTATGTACGCTGTCTCAGCCTGTTTGTATCTGTCTTCTAGCTCATTGCAGGGCATGGGGTGAACTTCACAGAAAGGGTGGCAGTGGCTCTGATCCTGTCTTGAGCCTTACTGCCTTGATTGGGGCATTGCCTTTGGTTTCCCTGTGTAGCCTGTGAGGTGACATCTAGTAAAATTAAGCAGAGATGCCTCTCGAACTCCAAGGCAGGATGCTGGGGATGCTGAGGTTTACCTGCTGGCTTATGACTTGCATCTCTGCTCCTTTAGGCTGAAGGACAAGAGGAAAAGCTGGAAGAAGAAGATCTCAGAAATGAGGTGAGTCGTGTTGGCTGCTCTTGAGGAAGGAGTAGAGTTATGGGCTGAGACTGATGCTTGTCAGTGTCCCTTTGTCACCACCAACATGGGTGGCCACTGGCATCCCCACTAAGTGTGTGTAACCTGAATGTCCTGCTGGAGAGGGCTCATACCTTGTCCCCATAATGTGTCACAGGTGCTCCAGTTCAATACAAACTGCCCGGAGTGCAATGCCCCAGCTCAGACGAACATGAAGCTTGTACGTATCTTTTGTCAAGCAGTTGGGTTGCTTTTCTTCTGAGTCAGGCATGGAGATTATATGTAGGCTGGGAGCATCCTTTCAAAAGAGCAGTTGCTTTATTCCCTGTGATAAGGAGGATGTTGCCTTTAATTAGGCTGTGTAACTTAGCTGTTGAGTTCAAAGAAGAAACTAGGCCATGGTCTTGAGTCTCTGTGTGGGGCTTGAGCCATGAGTTAGAACATTTGTAAACAGGAGCTACTATGAGCAGGGAAGAGAGCTGTTTCTGAGAGGACGCAGAAAAAAAAAGGGATGCCTTTTGCTATGCTTCCTGCAGTCCTGGGGCCAGCATGTTTGTGTGGGTTTTGGCATTGCTTTTCCCTAGTGGGTGATCTTGCTGTCTTGGAAGCAGATTTCCTTAACTCCATCTTCCAGAAATCCCCCACTTTAAGGAGGTTATCATCATGGCCACCATCTGTGAGAACTGTGGTCATCGGACCAATGAGGTGAGTGAACGCCAGCATTTGGAAAGAAGACTGGCTTAAGGTTAACCCCTTTGTAACTTCTTACTAAATCTGCTTCAGGACAGCAGGGTGGGGTGGGCTGAGGCTTTCACTTAGGCTTAGAGAGGGTGAGGAAGCCTTGACAGAACTGAGAATTACCCTAGAGGAGAAAAGTCAGAGGTACCATGAATCATTTAGACATGTCAGAGGTTAGTGGGAAGAAAGAAGAGTTTGACCCACTTTGTAGAATATTTTGACTCCATAATGAAGAGTTGAATAGAGTTGTCTGAAAATTGGCTTTCTTCACATGTATTTGAGGATAAACTGATTAAAATTTAGACCAGAATGTTATGAAGGGGATCCATACATTGGCTAGAGTGGGTAAACAGACTAGAGTAAATGCCAGAAGTCAACACCCAAGAGTCAAGACTGTTTTAAAAGGCTAAATTCAGAATTTCTGGGCAATTTGGGCCAAGTTTGGCGTGCTTGAGGGGCTGGGCATTCTGCTCCTGCCAGCTCTCATTATTGGGGTTTGGGTTACTGCCGCCACTGTTGGCTTAGGTTGAAGGCACTGTCAGGGGCTAGGGAGGAGCTCCAGGCCTGGGCAAGTCCTTGGGCTTCCTAGCACCAGGTGAGGCTCGGGGTCTTTTCTGTGCTGCTGCTCCTGACTGTTGTCTGTGCAGGTGAAATCTGGAGGAGCGGTAGAGCCCATGGGTACCAAGATCACACTCCACATCACAGATCCTTCTGACATGACCAGAGACATCCTCAAGGTAACAGCCTGCTCGGGACGGTGTCCATCTACTAAAAGTAACATCCAGGGGCACATAGTGCCTACTTTTCTCTGTTTGTGCGTCCTTGAGTAGAGTAATACATGCTTGGAATTACAGATTGACGGGGCAGTCCAAAGGCTCTTTTTGATTGATTAATTGGTAGCTTTTTGGCTTCCAATGACTTCACAGGCCCTTTTCTCTGACCTCTTCTGACCTCTAAGAGTGTGGAGCTTTGACTCAGAATTTTTCTTTATTAAGTTGGTTTCATTTCAGTGGTTCAGATAGATAGGAGTGAACCCATAATTTTATCTGGGGAGTCAGAGAGCTGCGACAGCTAATGCTGTCCCTAGCCTATTACTGGTGCTCTGGTGATATTATGTGGCAGAAGGTCTCTGATTGGCTTTCATATTCCCCCCTTTATTTTTCTGATTGATTTAATTTCTTCTTTCCCTTTCGTATCTTCTCTCCCCTTCCTCTCTCTTCCTTTTTATTTCCCTCTCTTTCTTGCTGATGCTGAGGGTCATACTCAGGGCCTTGCGAACGCTTGGCGAGTGTTCTGCCACTGAGCTACGTATACCTCTGGCCCCTGGATGTAAATCTTAATTTGACCTTTCCTTTTACAGTCAGAAACATGCAGTGTGGAAATCCCAGAGCTGGAGTTTGAGCTGGGAATGGCTGTCCTCGGAGGCAAGTTTACTACCCTAGAAGGGCTGCTGAAAGATATCCGAGAACTGGTGAGCCCCTGAATGTACTGTATGGTTTCTTTCCGCTGTGGGCAGGTAGGGTGCTAGAAGACCTTAAGTGCCCTAGTTTTTAGTGCTGAGAACTGGGGGTTTCTGTATCTTAAACCTGATTTAAGAGACTTAATTCTTGATCATGAAGAGAAGTTTATGGGAAATTTTGAGTCGCAATTTATGCGCCTAACTCTCGGATAGTATGATTATTTTCTGGTCATGGGCAAGTCATAAAACTTCTTTATAAAATAGGGGATCTGGGCCCTTTTAGCACCTTAGATTCTCTAACACACACATGTGTTTTGACAGCCTAGACAGTTGGCCCTCCATATCCAACCACAGATTAATATTATCAGAGAAAAAAAATATTATCAGAGAAATAAAATATTTCTTGAACACCTACAGAGATTTCCTAGTCATTGGGGCCAGGGAGATGGCTCTGTAGAATAAGCGTTTGCCTGCTAAGTACATGGGCATGAGTTCAATCCCTGGTTCCACAAAAATAAATGAATAAATAAATAAAAT